TTTTGTCTTCTTTGGGTCAATACCCAGTCGTGGAATTACTAGATTATAATGGTATTTATATTTTTAATTTTTTGAAGAACCTCCATATTGCTTTCCACAGTGGCTACGCTAATTTACATTGCCACCAACAGTGCAATTCTGACAGGTGTAAGGCAGTATTTCATTGGGGTTCTGATTTGCATTTCCCTGATGATTACTGATGTTGAGCATCTTTTCATGTGTCTGTTGGCCATCTGTAGGTCTTCTTTAGAAAGTTACACAAAAAAGACAAACGCCATATGATTTAGCTTATGTGTGGAATCTAAGAAATGAAACAAAGGAACAAACGGAGAGAGAAAGAAACAAAAAACAGACTCTTAAATACAGAGACCAGATTGGTGGTTGCCAGAGGAGAGGTGGGGGGATGGAATAGATAAAGGTACAAACTTCTAGTTATAAAATAAATAAGGCACAGAGATGAAAAGCACAGCACAGGAAATATAGTCAATAAGGTTGTAATAAAGTTGTCTGATGGTCACTATACTTATCATGGTGAGCACTACTGAGTATTGCACAGAACTGTCTGATCATTACGTTGTACACCTGAAATTTATATAACACTGTATGTTAATTATACTTTAGTAAAAAATAAATTTACAAAAACAAAAAACAAAAGCTCTGAAGGGAAATAATAATACACTTGACTACACAAAACATCAGACTTCTACAAAAACACCAACAAAACACAAATCTTCTGTAAAGAAATCTGAAAGACACTTCACAGCCTAGAAGATGATATTTGCAACATAAATCACAGAAAGGATTAGTAACAGCATGAAAATTAGTAACGGAAACCCTCACTAAAATGGAGTCCGGAGGTTTCCCTAGGAGAAGCTCTCACGCCCTACCACTCTAGTCAATTGCACACAAGACAGAAGAGCAGGACTTGACCTTGAAGGCGCATACTACTGGGAAGAGGAAGAGAGGCTTTCCATATCTCCCTCCCCTCCCAACAACAGCTCAGTCAATGAGAAGCCATTACACTTGGAACTCTCAGTTTACTCCAATGGCCTTTAAGCTTCTAACAGCTTCCCGACTACTCCTTTTCTCCTTAAGAAAGTGTACCTGTCCTTCATTCCTTGGGCTTGCCTGTATTTTGCCTCAGCTCGTTTGTCCTGAATTGAAATTCTCTTTTATTCCTGAATAACCCTATCTTTTGCTGGTAAGATAAAGGGCAGTTTTGATTCTTACGGTCAGCGACCTATATACAAATGCTACAAAATCATTGAATTTAAATGATCAACAACACACAAGCCAAAAGAAAAAGACTAAGGATATAAGCATGCAATGCACAGAAGAAGAAATAAAAATATCAAGTTAACACATGGAAATATGCAAATCATACCTACTATGCAATGCAACCTTTTCCAAGCGATAAAAATATAAGACTTGAAAAAAATCAAGTGCTGGTGAGGGTGTGTGTGAATAAGTAATTCTATATACCGCAAGCCAGTGTGAATCGGTATTGATATTTTGAGGGGCTATTTGGCAGCATTAACTAAAATGAAAACGGGCATATATTATGACCCAGGGATTCCATTTCTAGGAATCTATCTACCCTAAATAAACACTCACATATATGCACACAGCTATTCACTGAAGCATCATTTGTAATAGTGTAATATCGAATAGTGAAATAACAGTGAAATATTGTGAAAATAGTGAAATAATAGTGTAATATTGAAATAGTGTAATAATGAAAAATATAAAATACCAAACTGTCTACCGGCAGGGAAATAAACTGTAACACCCAGGCAATATAGGAGTTAAAAAGAAAGGCCATCTATAGGATGGCCAAGTGATGTTGCTTTAAGACGTTTCAGAAAAATACATAATATTCTGAAACAAAATAAAGTCAGTTCTACATACTTTTCAAGGTACATGTATGTGTGCAAATGCACAGAGAAAGGCCTAGAGAGTAACCAACAAATGGATCATAACAGGTAACTCTGGGGAGGGGACTGTGTTGGGGTAAGGGACAGTCAAGGAGGATTTGGACTCTAGCAATATTGTTTGAATTTTTTAAAATAAGAGTGTATTCACTTGTTACTTACATAATTAAAAATAAATCAAACTTATAAAATGATACACAACTATAAATTCAAATCTAAGGTTGTAGGCAAAGTCCCACAGGGACACAGTGAAAAGAAAAATTCGTGTGTAGAAAAGATTTTATAGCAGTAGTGACCTTTGAGCAGGGCCTGGCTGTCTCAATAGGACTTTGTCAAGCATCCATAATTTGGTGGAGGACCGTGGCAGACTGTATTTTCCAAAGAAGACTGTACTAACACACACACCCTCCCATATGCTTTTCTTTCAATATGACATTGACACTAGTCCATGGAGGGGTGGGAGTCTATGTTCCCTCTCCCTTGAACTTGGGCAAGATTTTGTGATTGCTTTGATGAACTGAATGGGAAGGAAGTCTCACAGCATGACTTTTGAGAGTAGCCAGCTACTGCCTGGTCCTTTCTTTTACAGGACGCTCACCCTGGGAACCCAGCCACCATGCTGTGAGAAAGCCCACACTAGCCCATGTGGAGAGACTGCATGAAGAGTCTCACGTGGAGAGAAACTGAGGCCCCCAGCCGACAGTGGGCACCAGCCACCAGACACACGAGTGAACGAGCCTTCAGATGATTCCCATCCCCAGCCTTTGTGTTCTCGGGCCGAGGCCCAAACACACGTCATGAGACAGAGCTAAGTCATCCCCACTGTGCCCTGTCCTAATTCCTGACCCAGAGAATTCCATGAGCAGAATAAATGGTTATTTTATGCCACAAAGTTTTAGAGCAATGTGTTACCCAGCCGAAGTAACTGGAACAAAGACTTTCTAAGGAGAAGAAACTATACAGGTAATAGAATGTCACAGAGCATTGTGAGTATTGGCAGTATTGTGTGATGAGGCTACAGGGGTTGGCTGGGAGCAGGCCATGAAAGTCTCATGTGACGCCATAAAAAAATTAAACATGCTATCGGTAGTGGAAAACTACTGAAAGTTTTTAAGCTGAGAAGTGAAACATTTAGATCTGCATTTTAGCAAGATATCTCTGAGACTGGTGTGAAGGAAAGACGGGAGAAGAGAAAGACTCAAAAATAGGAGAAGCTTCTCCAATTAAGACGAGTTCTAACCAAGTAACATGGGGGACTCATCCCTCACTCGACATGTTTTGTGACTTTTTTCCTCTTAAAGGCTTCCCCTGAGCCTCATTTATATTCAATTTCACTTGTATTAAAATGTTGGCGGGGAAAACTGATTTCCACACAAAAAGCTGCACATGGATATTTACAGCAGCTTTATTTATTATGATTGCCAAAACTCAGACACAACTAAGATGTTCTTCAGCAGGTGAATGGATAAATACTCTATCATATCCTATTCAGCACTAAGAAGAAATGGGCTATCAAGCCATGAAAAGACACAGAGGAGCTTAAAATACATGTTACTGAATAAAAGAAGTCAGTCTGAAAACGCTATCCTGTATGGTTCCAACTATATGACTTTCTGGAAAAGGCAAAATTGTGGAGACAAAGCATCGGGTGTTAGGAGGAAGGGAGAGAGGTTCTGTATGATACTAAAATGGTGGATACGTTTCTCAAAACCCATAGAATATACAACACCAAGAGAGAACCCTAATGTAAACTATCGTCTTTGATAATCAAGCATTGATGTATGGTCACTGATTGCAACAAATGTGAGGTGTGGGTAGTGGGAGAAGCTGTGCTTGTTTGGGGGCAGGGGTGTATGGGGAAATCTCTGTACCTTCCATTCAATTTTACTGGGAGCCTAAACCGCTCTAAAAATGAAGTTTAATAAAAAAAATGTTGGGCGCGGCGGGGGGGGGGGGGGGGGGGGGGATACATGGGAATATGAGATCACAAAAATGTTTTCCTTACTATTCTTTCGAGCTTCTGGATCTGGATCCGTTTACATAAAGCGTATTCTAAGAAGACAGAGCAAGCTGTCTGAAAAATGGTAACCACTTATAACTAATTATCCATGTGAGTCATATCACCATAACCCACAACTTCGTGTTCTGTGTTTGTTGAAACATCCTCATCATCGTTCTCAGGACCAGTTTTATAAGAAAATTATATAAATGTAAATGTAGAAAAGAAATCTACACTAAGAACCTACAGGGTTTTTTTTTAAATACATTTTGGATATTGGGGGTATATATAAGGAGAAAACCGAGGTGCGTGGCCCAAAGATGAGGGAGAAGACGAAACTCGGAACATAAGGAGCCACCTCTGCAATGAGGGAGAAGATGCCTGGATGGATATAAAAGCAAAGACAAATGAGGGGATGAAACATACTAATGAGAACGTTTCATTCTCAACTTGGCAGAAGGTCTTGAGTCCTATTTTTTGAGAAGAGCAAGAGGAAGAATGTATCAAAAATTGAGAGTTTCTGAAAAATAGAGACAGTATGGAGTGGTGCCATGGTGAATCAATCAGGTCTTTCACAGCAGCAGGACCCGGTTGGAATTTGATAGTGTAATTTCTTGGAGGCCAGTCTGTATCATTTTATACCGTACCCCCTCTAATGTTAATTATTCAAGAGGCGATTAGCCAGTTTGGGGGATCCCATGCACTCTGGCCTAAAGCTTGGTTATCAAAGAGATGTTCATACAAATGAAAAAAGGAACTCAAATTGATTTTTCTGCTTTTTTAAAGCATTCGTAAGAGGTCTGAGTGTGGTTACTAATTTTTGAAATGGTGAGAAAGAAAAGAAAGCAAAATAGAGAAAAAAAAAACCCACTGAAACAAATGGCAAAATAGGATTATAGGATTATGTGTGGGCTGAATTCATCCATGCTGGTCCCATCCCCCATTATCAAAGTTAAATTAAAGCCCTTATTGCTATATTTCACCAAATAAAATCTGACGAAAAGCAACTCCTTTCCCAGTGTTTCGTATTGATGCTTCTGAGTAGACTTGCTAATTTTTACCCAGTTTACCTGCATCGCAGAGGTGACAAACGTCTGCTTGCTCTTCTGATAACCATTTAGTTGATGAGGTAATGGGAGGAGGAAGTGTGGGCAAAACTGGCTTTGGATCATCCTCGTAAAATAACATCAGGTCCTTAGAGAAAATAAGAGAGCACATGAAGTTTGAAAAACATAATTAATCCCCCTGCTTCACTTTGGTAAAACAGATGGACGATTCATGGAGATACGCTGTGTCTATATGTGCCAACATAAACCCATTTTAATGGAAAGAACTTAAATATAAGGTATGTATGCACTTGGTGTCCACTGAGCGTAGGGTGGTTTTCTACCCTTGGAGATCCTCACTCCTTGATGAAGACATCTAGTGCAGAGTAGCAACGCTTCTGTTTGAGGCATGAACTTTCCCCACCACTCCGTGAGCATCCTTAGGGCGTACTATCTCAGAAGCTGATTGTTCTGTTTTACTGTTCTGTTTTACCTGTGTCTATCTTTTTTTCAATGTTTGTTTATTTTTGAGACAGAGTACACGAGCATGCGCGCAAACAGGGGAGGGGCAGAAAGAGGGCGAGAGAGGATCCCAAGCAGGCTCCGCACTGTCAGCACAGAGCCTGATGTGGGGCTCGATCCCACAAACAGTGAGATCATGACCTGAGCCGAAATCAAGAGTTGAATGCTTAACCAACCGAGCCACCCAGGTGCTCCTATTTGTACTAAATTTTAGAACTTTAACTTTTTGTCATGGAGTAAAACACAGATGATAATCAATCCAACCACGCAGTTAAACAAATCAATGCATGGCCAATCTGCTTTCATTTACATCCTACCAGTCCTCATCGGCTTTATTGTGAAGCCAATCCTAGGTGCATCATTGATTTCAGTGCCTCTCTCTAAATGACATGAACTCTTTAACACAATTATTTTATACCTATAAACTTCCCAACTCCTTAATGTCATCAGTTATAAGCTCCTCATCTTTTCAATTTCTCATGAGTGCTATTAAGCAGTTTTTTTTCTATAGCTTGTCCAAGAGAGGATTCAAATAGAGTCCATATGGTGGGATCAGTTGACGTGTCTTTTTCCTCCTATGAACGAAGATCTGTTTTACGGTACTTTAAGGTATAATCAACATAGAGTAAAATGCATAAACCTTAAGGGTACAGTTCAATAGGTTTTAACATTATGCCGTATACCTATGTAGCCACATTTCTGTCACTCCAGAAAGTTCCCCCAAGCTCCTTTCCAGTTGGTCCCACCCTCCCACTACCAGTAAACAGTGTCTATCTTCCATCAGTAGCAATGAGTTCGTCTGTTCTTAAGCTTCATATGAATGTCATCATATGCTACATGCTCTCTTGTATCTGATTCCCATTGCTTAACGTAATGTGTGAAAAAAATGCATCCATATCTTGTGTGTATCCGTTCCTTTTTTTTTGCAAGAAGTATTCCATTGTAGGAATATGCCACAATTTGTTTATCCATTCTCCTCCATATGAACATCTGGATTGTTTCCAAATTTCGGCTATAATGAATAAAGCTACTGTGAACATTCATACACAAATCTTTTTATGGACAAGTGTACTCATTACTCCTGGATATTTACACAGGAGTAGAATGGACAGGTCATAGGAAAAGTTAATTTAAACAGTATTTAACTTCATTAAATATACAAATTCATAGAATTCATATATTTAAATATGAATTTAACTTCATTAAATATATAGTATGTAACTTCATTGAAACTGCCAAACCATTTTCCAAGGGATTCGCCCCTTTTTATAATTCAACTTTTATTTTAAAATCACTGTAGATTCACATGTATTAAGATATAATACAGAGCGACCCTATGTATCCTTTACCCTGTTTTCCCTAAAAATAGCATCTTAAAAACTGCAGTACATATTATCCAAGATATTGACACTGTTACGGTCAAAATACAGACCATTTCCATCACCATAAGGACCCTTCCTGGTACATTTTTATTACCATAGCCTGCCCCCCACAACTACTAATCTTTTCTCCATTTCTATAATTTTGACATTTGAAGAAATGTTATATACATAGAGCCATACAGGATGTAACCTTTTGGAATTGGTTTTTTTTTTTTAACCTGGCATAATTCCCAGAAATTCATCCATGTTGTTTCATGCATTAATAACTCGTTCCTTTTTATTGCTGTGTAGTATCCATGGGATAGATGTATCACAGTTTGTTTCACCTGTCAAAGGACCGTCTGGATTGTTTCCAGATCTGGGCTATTATATATAAAGCCGCTGTGAACACTGTGTGTAGCTTCGTGTATGAAAGTAAGTTTCCATGTTGCTGGGATAGATGTCTAAGAATGCAATTGCTCAGTCCTATGGTAGTTGCATGTTTAGTTTTTATAAGATGCTGCAAACGGTTTCCCAGAGTAGGTTTACAATTTTACATTCCCACTAGTAATATTTGACTGATCCAATTTCCCCACATTTGCCAGCATTTGGTGTTGTCACTACTTTTTACTTTAGCCATTTTGATATTTCATTGTGTGTTTAAATTACATATTCCTCATGGGTAATGAGGCGGGACATCTTTTCACGTGCTTATTTGCTGCTTGTATTTGCTGAAGGGACAGTTCTTGTCATTTGCCCATTTTCTAATTGGATTGTGCTGGATTTTTAACTGTTGCGCTTTGAGAGGTTAGTTTTTTAATTTTTAATTTTTTAAAAAGTAGGCTCCATCCCTAATATGGGGCTTGAGCTCAATGACCTTGAGATTAAGCTTCGTATGCTCTATCCACTGAGCCAGCCAGGTGCCCCAAGAGGTTTTTATTTATATTTTTAATGCTCAAGATATTAGTCCTTTGCCAGATATGCGGGTTGCAAACATTTTCTCCCAGTCTGTAACTTGTTTTTATATCTTTTTGTGATGAGGTCTAACTTTTTTTTCTTTTAGGGATCATGTTTTTGGCCAGCCCTAGATCCCAAAGATGTTTCTCCAGTATTTTAAAAAAGTTTTATAGTTTTACATTTTACATTTAAGTCCACGATCTACTTGGACTGAATATCTATATGAAGCTTAAACTGAGGCCCATGATTTTGCCTATACCAATGTCCAATTGCCCCAATATCATTTGTCGAAAAAGTTGTCCCTCGTTGAATTCCTTTTGTTCCTCTGTTAAAAATCAATTGGCCATATTTGTGTGGGTCTAAATTCTTGGTTCTCTATCCTGTTCTACTGACGTAGGTGTCTATCTCTCCACACTCTCAATACCACACTCCAATTCCATACTCTCTTGATTGCAGTAGCTGCACTAGGCTTAGTATCAGGCAGAGTGATTAGTTCCACCTTATTCATCTTTTCCAAGTTGGTTTTAGCTGCTCTAGAGCCTGTGCCTTTCCACATAAATTTTAGAATAAGCTTATTATCTATCTCGAAAAAAAAAAAGCTTTGCTGGAATTTTTATAGGAATTGCATTAAACCTATAGAGTAATGAGGGGCATCTTTACTATGACAAGTCTTCCAATCTGTGAAACTGGTATGTCTTTAATTGACTGGTCTTTAAAATCTTTCATCAGTATTTTCTAATTTTCAGGATACTGATTCTATACATGTTTTTGTTACAATTATACCTAAGGATTTCATTGGGGGGCAGTAATTACAAATGGCATGTGTCTTAATTTCAGTTTCCACATGTTCACTATTAGTACGTAAAAATGCAATTGAGGAGTGCCTGGGTGGCTCAGTCGGTTAAGCGTCCCATTTCAGCTCAGGTCATGCTCTCACGGTTCATGAGTTCGAGCCCCAAGTCAGGCTCTGAGCTGACAGTGTGGAGCCAGCTTCAGATTCTCTGTCTCCCTCTCTCTCTGCTGCTCCCTGCTCCCTTTCTTTCAAAAATAAATCAAGATCTTTTTTTAAAAAGATAAACAAAATTCAGAGGTGCCTGCGTGGCTCAGTCCATTAAGCATTGAACTCTTGATTTTGGCTCGGGTCATGATCTCATGGCTTGTGAGTTCGAGCCCCACATCAGGCTCTGCTCTGACAGCTCAGAACCTCCTTAGGATGCTCTGTCTCTCGATCTCTCTGCTCCTCCCCTGCGCTCACTCACTCTTTCAGAAACAGATAAACATTAAAAACAAAAAAGATAAAAAGTGCAATTGATTTATGTATGCTGATCTTGTATCCTCCATGCCTACTGAATTCACTTGCTGGTTCTCTAAGGTTTTGTCGCCTCTCTGGGATTCTCTATGCAGACAATCTGTAAATGAGGACAATTTTATTTTTTCTTCTACACATCTTTTCTTTTCTTATTGCAGTGGCTGGAACTTCTAGTACTATGTGGAATAAGTCCTGGCCTTGTTCCCGATCTTGAAAAGAAAGCATTCACTGTTAAGTACGATGCTATTGCAGGTTTTGTGTGGATGATCTTTATCAATTTAAGGAAAGTCCCTATTTCTAGTTGCGGAGTTTCTACCATAAATGGGTATTGCGTGCTGTTGAATGTTTTCTCCATCAACTGACAAAAATCCTACGATTTTTCTTCTTTAATTTGTTGACATGATAAATTACATTCATTGACTTTCAAATGTTGAGCCACAACTTAGATTAAATCCCACTTGGTTCTGGTGTATAATTTTTTAAAATATATTGCTGGATTCAATTGGATAATTGTTTTTTGAGGATTTTGCCTCTCATTTCATGAGAGATAATGGCTTTTTTTTTTCTGTAAGACAAGAAATGGTCTTTTTCTGGGGTTGGTAGCAGAGCATCAATACTTGCCTCATAAAATGAACTGGGAAGTACTCCCTCCTACTTTTGAAAGACATTTGTGTAAAAATAGTGTCTATTCGAGAATTCTCCAGTAAAACCATCTGGAAGTGGAGATTTCTTTTTCAGGAGACTTATATTACAAATTCACTTAAAAACAAAATGGTTACAGGGGCGCGCCTGGGTGGCTCAGCTGATTAAGCATGTGAGTTCGGCTCAGGTCATGATCGCACAGCTCGTGAGTTCGAGCCCCACGTCTGTTCTGATGGCTCAGAGCCTTCAGATTCTGTGTCTCCCTCTCTCTGCCCCTCCCCCCCAAATATAAATAAACATTAAAAAATTTTTTTAACGGTTACAGAACTATTCAGGTTCTATTCCACCTTCTTTGAA